AGTACAGTGTGTCACAGGCTAGTTTAAGAAAATAGCACAGGAAGTCTAATGAGCTTATATCCCTTAATATCTGTGCTCTCAGCTTCCCAGGCATCAACTAGAGGACATTTAGGGCAAATTTAGCCAAACACATCCATTTCTCTCCTAAGGTACGAAGACAGAAAATGCCTTCTTGACTCCAGACATACCCAAGAATTGGGCAGTCTCACCTTCATGCTATAATTAAAGCAGAATGATTAAGTCATGGTCACTCTTTTCAGAACAGGAAGTGGGAGAAGCCACCCATAGATGCTAGATTGATAGGGCACAGAGAGACTCTTGTTGCATCAGCACTGTACTTAACCAGTTTTGGTAAGCTTAAGCAGTGCATTTCCCTCTTCCCTGTTTAGCAGTACTCATTTCCCATGCCCCCTCTTCTTCTTATCCTATAATTTTGTAATGAAAGCTATAATGACAACCAAGAATTACACAGAGAAAAGGAACTGATTAGTGCTTGTTGAAAAATAAAATAAACAACCTTTTTTCAGATAAATGTACCGTCCACTTGCAGCCAAATCAGGCTCTATGTCACCCTCTTCCCTGTAGATATTCTGCCCCTGAGCATTCCCTTTGTTGTAAAGGAGGCCAGGGACTGATGTTTCCCTGGGGAAGGGAGCAATCAGCACACCTGACTGTAATTTCAGGACAGATGGCTTTTTCTTCACTTGCTTCCAGCTTGTAAAGCTTCAGTCAATCTTAAACTAATAAGAATTTGTTAAACTGCTAATCGGATAACCAGAACCCAGTCCAAAACCAAGCCACTTATTCTTCTTTTATTTGTTAAATAGCTCACTTTTTACAGTCTGACAGCTTCTGACAAAGCCTAATCACTCACTTGCTTATTTGATACCTCTTTCTGCTCTTTAGCCCCTCTGATATCTGCCAGCTATCACAACCAACTATTCTATCTCCACAAAACACATCTTCTTGGTCATCCTAACTTTATGCAACTGAATCACCACCCTGGTTCTTCTCTAATCACATTAAGATTAAATTCTTTTTTTCTTTCAAGACCTTAAGTACCTCTGTATTTATCCACATATGTTACCCAGGTTCATTTATCATCCCATGTCAGCTATTTTGGCAGTGATGTCAGCCTGTTTATCTCTTACATAACAATTTTCCAGTCTTTTCGTATGCTGTCTCTCCTGCACACAGTCCTCAGAATATTTATTTTCAGCCTATCTCTATTACATTAGTAATCACTTAACACCACAAATCAAACACAGTCATTTGGATGCAGTCATTTCAATCAATATTCTCTTAGCTGATGGATCATATGACCTGGTAGTGTTTTATCTTGGCTTATTATCTGTTTATTAATGGTGTCAGAAGGCTTTGGTCAGGGACAAAAAAAAAAGAGGATGTATGTGATAAGAGCAGGTAGTTCCAAGCAGAGGGACAAGCATGATCACCATGAAAGACTGATGAATGCAGGAGGCATGGTTTGTGCCTTTCCATCTGAGCACAGCTGACTGCGAGGAGACTTTGCCAGGATCTGTGTGTATTTATGCCAGGCTGGCTTTCTACATTTGTGCATTTATTTAAATAAGAACTTCATTTCAGAGACTTGTTTCCTTCATTTTATATATACTGCAATAATAACAATAGGGAATAAGTTCCAATAGATGGGTATGTAGTGTTTTCTTCAAAGACAGCCCTGTTCCCATTGAGAAATCAATGAAGAAATTCTCTGGTGGTGAAAGGAGTGAAGTAATTTTTAAATCAGTAGAGCCAAAATTATTTACAGCAGCAGAGAAGACAATCACTACTTCCAGTTTCAAGAATACTGAGAAAGAGGCATTTTAGAAATATATATATATATCGAGCCTCTGTTTCAACCATTGCTGATTTCATTCTATAACCCTAGTAATAAAAGCCAAGACACACTAACTTCTGAATGGTTAAATATTTCTTCATGACTTGACTGGATAGCATTTAAGCATAATCTCTTCATAATCATGAATTGCTGCTATTGAAATACAGATGTTCCTGGGAGATTCCCATTTTACTTTACACCAAATATTTAATGGATCAGTCTACCTGTGAATGCATTTTGTGCTTACTCAAGCACTTAAAGTGGAAGCTAACCCTTGGAATTAGTGAAAGCTGAACTGACAAAATAGATCTGAGGAGAAGTGTCTCTTCTTGCCACCTGGAGTAAACTTTTTTCCCTCCAGTGTTACGAATGGAAAGATGAAAGTTCTCCTAAGAGTTTTCTAAGTTTTCCTAATGTTTTCTAACATTTCCTAAATGTTGAAATGTTAAACATTTCTTAAAAGTTCTCCTAAGAGTTTTCTAAGTTTTCCTAATGTTTTCTAACATTTCCTAAATGTTGAAATGTTAAACATTTCTTAAAAGTTCTCCTAAGAGTTTTCTAAGTTTTCCTAATGTTTTCTACCATTTCTTAAATGTTGAACAAGAAATAAAGTAAGCAGTTTAATAGAAGTGCACGCTACAATTTTTTTTCTTACTTTTTAAGTAGAAATATGAAATACTTAAATTTTATTTGTAGATTTAGTAAGTGGAGAAAACCATTAGATGATTAAGGAGATGTGCTGTACACAAGTATAGCATAAAATTTCTGTATGTTGACAGAAAAATGTGAAAATGTTTTAGCCTGATCAGATGAGCAAAATCTGCTATGGTATTAATGCATAATAGTAGTTCTGGATAACCCAAACTAAATGGTATGAGTAAAGACTAAATGTATTTAGTAGGAAGGACTGTAGAAAATGAACATTCAGTGTAGTCCCACTAAGACCATTCTGGTTTTGAGACGAAGTCATGTTAGTCCATGACAATATTCCTTTGCACATTAACTCCAGTAATATTGGTGAATATAATGTTAAAAATAATCTGATGGACTGACCAGTGAATATTCCAGACTTCATTATTTTGTTTATAGACTTCAATTCCCATGACTGTAATATAATATTCAATGTCTACCTATTCCAAGCATCCCAACAATGAGGAAGTCAGGCAGATACACCAGGAGGCTTACTGGACGAGCTGTGGGCTCTGAGGCAATGGGCAGAGGAAGTGGCTGAGCCACAGTGTCACATTTGAGAAGTAAGTGGCAGTGAAGGTGGTGGAGCTATCAATAACTGGCAAAGGGGAAGCATAATTACTGTTTTCAGCAAAGGAATAAGGAACACCAGTGGAAATACAGGCCAATCAGTCACACCCCTGCACCCAGCAACATCATGGGTCAGAATGTGGTGGCCTCACAGGGCATGTGAATACACTGATTGTGTACAAACGCCATGTGATCTTCTCCTCTGGATTAAGCAGGCTCATCTGTCAAGTTTCATTCCTGGCTACACTTTTTTCCTGCCTTCTGCATTGTAAAAACACACAATTAATTTCTCCAAACTAGGAAACTGCCCCAGTGTAGTGACTGGCAGGGTCAGTTCACCAGTCTAGTTCACTGCATGAAAACCCACGTGGTAGCAAGAAGGTGAAGTAGGAGTAGCAGCAACTTTTCTATCATGAACTGCACACTAATTCCACTTCAAAAACTACCCCATAATTTTGCTTTGCCATGACTTTGTCTTCTCCAGTCCTAAAACATAGCTCTAGAGAATTTTCCCAGCAAAAGAAAATTAGAATGTTACGTCACAAACTTGCTGGCTTCCCATTCAAATATGCCAAAAATATGAAATGTATCTGTTTCTTAGTTATGCAGGTCAACTGTATATTTATACTATCCTTAGCACACACAGACTACACAGATTACTGATCAAGTCATGAAGTAAGTATACAAACATGTAAATAAAAATACTACAAAATGCAACAAGCTACTGCAACAGCCCACCCTGCCCCCCCCCCCCCAACAATTACAGTAGCAGTATAGCCACCACAACCTTATTGCAAGGTAAATTGGTAGGAAAGGGAATAAGTTCCAATAAAATAGCAGTGAGAACTGGGAGAGAAAAGTTTTACAAGGACCAGCAGTATTTAACTGTGGGCTCTTAAATCACACAAGTAAAGGACTGCTCTGGTGTGGTGAAAGGTTCAAATATGCCTATATCATGCTCAGGAGAGCACATTCAAGCTTCCAGTAACTTCTGTAGTTGCTGCAGCTGTGTGATGCTCACTGTAGCCAACATCTGTCCAACAGCACAAGCACAGGGAAGCCACAAATAAATTATCTGCATTCCTCTTGTAAGTTTCCTCCATCCATTCCTGATTTTGTTTCTCTGATCTCTAGTCAGGACAGAACTTTGTTTTTTCTGAGTATAGGTGGAGTCAAATTACTTTTGAGGAGGGGAGGAGGGGATTCTTATAAAATCCAATTCTTCCACATCCTGGAGGAGACAAAATTGTTTGTTCAGCTAGTCAGATGGTAGTTCAGATGAGAAAGATGACCTGGTGGTTTGCGGCACAACTCGAGAACTTACATGCAACTGGAAGGTGAAGAAAGGTCTTCATATCCTCTACAAACCTTGGCTATCTGAATAAGGTAATGTCTTGATGACTTGATTTTTGTTACTTCTAACTGGTTGCTCATAGCATTCAGCCAGTCTAAGTGTTAGATGAAAATCATAAGGTATCTGAATATGATGAACATAGCCTGTTCCTTGCCTGTGTAACAAGTCACATGTGTGGAGGGAGTTTCAGCATAAATTACAATTGATATCTTTGTTTCTTTCCATCTTTCTTCTAATACAACCAATAAAACAAGACTATATTATTTAATCTGTTGTTAATTTATTAAAGATATATTTTTTATTTAGTTTTACATAGTTCCTGTTTCAAGGTATCAGCCTTTGGTAAAAGTAGTTTTGTGTCTATGTATATTAAGTTTTTGCGTCTATGTATATTAAGTGGTTTTGTGGTAATGACAGCAATGGCTTTTGCTATGCTTGCTCAACAATTTCATGATGGAATACTGGTATAAATTGCCTAAAATTCTGTTAATACATACAATGCTTCTTAAAACCACACTGAAAAATTAGGCAAATCTACAAAAGCATGTTTCTCTTCTGTTTCCCAAGATGGATAAAATCATTATGATAAACATTTCCTGTTTTTTCTTCCTTTTCTCTTTTTTTTTTTTTTTTTAAAGTCTGAATCCAGGGTAATAGTATAATATTTGTACTGGAAACCCAAACCAAAAACACATTACCAAGTCACATTTCTTTATCTAAGTGTGGAAAAACTTAATACTTGCCATTTTTTGTCTTCTTGGGGAACCTATATCTGTAACTATCACCATCTCACAAGGAGCCCACTGAACCTCCATTCAGAGAGAGTGAATACACTTATTTGGGGAGTGTCAAGTATGAGTTCCATAAAAACAAGAAGTTTAAGATTCATACTAACAACAATTTTTCTTGATTCCACCAGCATGTTGTTTTGCAATGTGCAGCAAACATATTCAATTAATTTGCTCTTTTGTAAAAAGTTAATTAGAACATGGAGCACAAGATAACCAAGTAGAACAAGTATCTGTCTTCACAAGTTTATGTGGCACCCTAAAATGCAAGCAATAAGATAAGCATTTTATAATTTATTTTTATTATTGTCTGATTAACTTTTTGAATCACTGGCATGAATCAAAGCAGAAGTAGCTTGGAGAACTTGTAGAGCATGAATAGAGAAACAACCCTGGTGTCTCAGAAAGCGTCTTTGTAGCTATCCAGGTGCAAAGATAAAGGCTGCACTCTTGCCTGCGAGTTCTTGCTGGCAAAATTTACCATGAGCATAATAACACTGCTAGCAGAGATTTCAGCTCTTGCTGATACACACACCAAGCACAGGCTTTCCTGACTTAAGTCCGTGTCTCACAGGACATGTGTTCCAGCTGCCATGAGAAATTCTGGAGGTAGGAGTCAGTGGGATGCTAGACAGAATGCTTATGATTCCAGGCACAGCTTTACATTTTTGAGAGACCTTGTGTATGACCAGGCACAACAGAAGGAGAAATTTCCCTACAGGTCTTTCCTGTTTTTTATTTAGAAGGTTAGCTCCAGAGACAAAATGGATTAGTGAAGATATTAATACCTTACTATTTACCATTACTAAATAGCTAAGAGCAAAAGGAGATCCTATGTAGGTTTTTTCAGCTTAGGGTATTTGCAATTACATGATCTTATAATAAACTTTCTCTTGTAAGTGAAGGAGGAAGAAAGCAAAAGCATGGTGTCAGAAACATGTTCCCATACTGTAATAGCTATGCTTTCTTCTACTCTGTTCAGGCATTTCAACAATTCCCTGTAGTATGTAGCTGCACTGCTTTCAAATCCATAGGGCTGCTGGAAAATAACTACCTCATTAATTAATAACGCAACTGAAATAGTACTTTCATTTTGGAATTACATGTAACATTGTGATCATTAAAAGGCAGTGAAGAATGAATTCTGACCTCTGACATAAAATATGTATTTGTCATAAGGAAACATGCTGTTTATTTAAGTTTTGTGAGCAGTACGGCCCAATTTATTCTTCTCCTGGGAGAGAGTTTGCCTAATGAAAGTGAAGGGTGCTGGGTGATGTCATGTAGATTTTATCATGCCTGTTTTAGTCTGGGTGTTGCCTGGTAAGCAGCAGGATTTCTTCTATCTGTCTTGTGGCACAAATTATAATCCTTGCCCAGGCATGTCTATGCAGAATGCAGAAATATCAGTACCACTCTCCCTAGGCAGGCTTATTTAGCTTGAGTGTTGCATCCTTTTTATATTCTTCCAAGCCTCAAACAAAATTATGACCATGCTGCTTGAACTCAGCATTGTCAGAATGCTACTGCTGCATCTTGATATAATTTCTCTATTTTCTTATAATAAAGTGAGCACTAATACAAGTATTAATGCTTCCCAGAAACTGTGGGAATGAAAACCTGATTCCTTCATACAGACCTCAACATAAGGCAGTCTCTCCCTCTCCTGTGGCTGTTCTAAGATTTTTTAAGATGTGCAAATGTGTCCACTGCCGTGTCAGTCCAGACACAGAGCAGTGATTTTGTTTCTGATCTCTATAATGCTCTCATGGCTTCTTTTCCCCATCCTGCTGCAGTATTCAGATCCTCCTGAGATCATGCACCTCAAGGGAGAAAATCACAGGGCTAGTGGCTGCTTCTTTGTACTGGGTAATTTCAAGTGGTATGGATTCCTTCATGCAGTTCATTTTACTCAGGTGCACACCGGGTAGCTAATTTTAAATAGAGTACATCTTCAGCTGTCTCAAGTTTCCCATTCTCCTCCTGAAATAGGTCTTTTTTAGTCTTTTGTATCTTGCACAATATCCCTCCTCAGAATTTAGTGCCCATGAAGAAACCAGAAGAATACATTAATGTTTCTCTCCCTCCAGCCAGATCCTATGTCCTCCATGCACCACATGATTGCTGCGTGTTTATCACAAAACTTTTAAGGGGAAATATGCTTTTTCAGTTTTGTGCTTAATTAGATGTTCTTGCCTATGAATATATCTTTGCAAGGATATATAAAAAGATGTGCACCATTTTGGCAAAAATGCTCGGCATTGCTGAAACTATTAATATTTATAAATGCTAAAATGTTGAGGACCCTAAAATTCTTCTTTGAAAATCTTAATATCTAATATTTTCCCATTGTCTTCTCTCCTTTGTTGGCATCTGCACGCTTCTTTTATTTTCTTAACTCTGTACCTGAAATTCTTGAAAATTTCTTTATTCAGTCTTCTGTCTCTTGAGGCCTCTGTTACCTAGGTAATATTTTCAGTCAAACCACTGTAATGAATGTTGTATTTTAGCTTGTGGATTTTAACTTGTGTAAGCCATTCCTAGAATATTTTTATTAATTTATTTAACAATGGGCCTTCTACCAATTTGCAGATCTGTTAAAAAGCCTCATCACCATCACTACCACTACAGAAAAAAAAAAAAAAAAAAGAAAAACAACCCAAAAACCAGAGAACATCTAAGAATTAGAAAAGATGCAGGCTAAAGACGGCAATCCACCAGATGGTGGCTACGGATGGGTTGTGGTAGTGTCAGCCTTCATGGTGATGGGCCTCACTGTTGCTGTCCTCAAGACTTTTGGTCTGTTCTTTGTTGAAATCCAGCAGCACTTTGATGAACTTGCAAGCACCACTTCCTGGATCACATCAGTAACTATTGCTGTCTTTCATCTAGGAGGTAGGTACTCCTCTACCATTTTATGTTAATATTAACTACCTGAGAAAGTTTGAACATCTTCCTTATAAAAACCTTAAAAAATGTAAGGTCTAGACTTCCTTCTTCTGTCTCTACACAAAATACAGAAAAATTTCAGAAAATTGGCATTTACTGCTTCATATATGAAATGGATTAATAAGAAAACTCTGTAGAAACAGGAATCTGGTTACTTGAAAAAACATCATGTACTTAAACTCATGATTCAGTTTTGCTACAGGTTTTGAGTAGAACTCATTAGAGATAATTCTGATAGCCACAGAGCTTGTTGAATCAAGCTCTTAGAACAGTTTGTCAAGTTTACTGATCTCAGAGTAAGCTCACTTTTTCAAAGTATTTCAAAATACAAGGATTGTGACCCCATCTATCAGGTAAGCCATCTGCTACCAAAATGATTCTCAATCCTGCTTTTTCCCACTTCTTTTATCTTTACCAAGATCCCCTTTCTTTGCATGTATTACCAATTCTATGTCATCTTCACCCCTCTTACTATGATTCCAAGTTATTGATCTACCAGAAGACTCACTGAGTTAAAAAGCAAAAAAAAATAAATCTATTCACACAGAGGGAACTCAATAAAGACATGACCATGCAAGCAGAGAGTAGGGGTAGAGTGAACTATCCCAGTCAAAGGCAGTGAGGTCAAATACTAGATCACACCAAATGAAGGAGGGAAAAATTTGAAACTGATACTGCATTTGACTCAGCTTGGTTGTTTAGAGAGTCCTTAGTGTAAACTGCATGATTCTTCACATGATGTGAGGATTCCAAACATGCAGGCTTGAACTGCACAGAATTTGTGAAGTCTGCTCTGCATATTCTCATAGAGATATATGGTTGCAATAGGTAAATATCCTTACATAATAAATGCTATCATAGTTTTGTTTCGGAAGACACTTTTTTGCATAGACACTGTATAATTACATGCATCCTACTCAGTCCACACCTATCAGTATTATTGCATGGAACTGCAGGTACTTCCAAACATCAAGAACAAATGATCTTTCTTTGAAAAATGTATTCAGAAGGAAAAAAAAGAGTAAACCAAAGTCAAAGTAAAAAGATTATAAGTAATAAGTCATGAGTTGAAAAGATTTTATCAGTTCCATTAACTGCTATCCTTGATGCCTACTTTGCAGTGGCAGATATAATTAACTGAAAAAAAAAATTGAAAAACCTGCTTCACAGACCACAGAAATGAATAAATGGTAATCTATCAATTTGGTTAACAAAATAGATGTATCACTCACATATTGTGATCCTGTTGTCTCATTCAGGCATTTGAACTTCATGAGAAGAAAAAGCCAGCATAGGAGGGAAAAACTTTCCAGTCCTGTTTTAGTTAGGTTTTGTTTTGTTATAGCATATATTTACATTGTATAGGAATGTATGAAGGAATACAGCAAATGACACAATAATATGAAGTATAAACCAGAAAAAATAGATTTGCCTAACCAGGTGGGTGGCCAGCCTACGCCAAGGAAGGAAAGTGTAACTTTCAGCAGAGATTGTTTCTCATCCTTCGAAATCCATTGAAAAGAATCCATTTGCAGTGAATAAAGCTTGGTGGTCAAACATTCCAAACCCCTCTGTATAGCAGTTTATAAATGTCTCAGGTCAATACACAACTTTCCTCATCTTCTTCTGCCTTTGCTTCATTTATAGGGACAACAAGACTTCATGATGAAGATCACCTGAGCCTCCAGTTCTTTGAGCATGTTTCCTGGCCTGGCTTAGTCTTTCTTAATGTCTGTCTCTGGGAAACCTTAAGTGTCACTTGGCTCAGTATGAAGGATGATCACTGAATTATTATTTTTTCCTATTTGGATCCTTTCAACAGCAGGTCTGTTTCCTGTGTCGAAGGAGAGCATGTACTTCCACTCCCAAGGTCTGCACTTGCAACAGGCTGTTCAGTTTACCACAGCAAGGATTCTCCCCATCACCTTCACCAGCCTTCTCTCGGTACTGATGTACACCTCCCAACATCTTTCTCTCTTTGCTCTTGTTGTCATCCCTTTCCATCACTTGTGCATTTTCTGTGTGTTGCCCTTATCCTTTCAGACTCTGGAGTCAAGCCCTTTTACCCATTTCCAGTTCTGTGGCTAGCTTCTTTCTTTTCTCTTCCTACTTCATGTTTAATTTCTGCCTGTTTATTCTTCTTATTTGCTATTTAAGAATTGAGATTTGGCAAGATTTCTGCTTCAGCTGCAGAACTTTTTCCTGTCTTCAAGAACTTTCATGGATGTTATCCTGTGTCTACTTTTGTCTTCTTGTTTTCATCATATTTTATGATTCACCAACTGTATGTACATTATCATGTCTCATCAACTACATTTTAAGATGACTGAATTTCAGTATCATTTTTACAAGCTTATAAAATTATCAGATTTTTGCTGTAAAAGCTGATGAGACATTTGAGGTTTGTATAACTCCTGCCAGTTTTTCTGCTGTCAGACAATGTCCATGCTGCAGATTTTGCAACAACGAGTACTCTGTCAGGTTTATTTCACTTATCCTAGCTACCAAATCATTTTAATTCTGATCTTAGCACAGGTTAATGTACAGCAACCTGCCCCTACAAACTACTACGAAACCTTTCTTGCTGGCTATTCTCTTTTAATAATTGTCTTCCTACTTATTTCAATTTAGAGGCGTGGTCCCCGTTAACTGAATTCTGTTTTATGCATGAACTCCAGTTCCCAGGATATTTAACAGATTGCGGGGAGCTGGTTCATGCCAGGTGGTACTTGGGAACCCCCTAGTGGCAATGGCCATTTAAAGAAATCCTACGGCCTTGACCTCGACTCCTGCCATGCTGATGGAAAAACCAGCCAGGCAGTAAAACTAGCCTTAATTAAGCAAAAATATCCCTAACATTTCAGGTGTTTCCAGACAGTGATTAGAGACCAAAGCAGCTGCTTATCATCAGATCTGTACCACCTGCACCTTTGCCCTTGTGTTGAAGAGTGCCTGCACTCTTTTGTGAGAAACTGTACCACAAAGATTTAAGAAATGAATGGCCAATTTGCTATAAAAAGTATTACTACAAAATAAACCCTAATTTTTAGTCCTTTATAAAATTTTAAAATTCTATTAAGGGTTGATTTTTGCAAAATTCTAGAAAACAAAAGATGGTTTTCTCCAGAAAGTTTTCATGCCAGCCATACCAATAACACATTCTCAATAGTACAATTTTTATAGATGAACCTATAGATTCCGTGGCTGAAGTTTCACTTTCTACTAAAACAGTCCATGAGGTTCTGCCATGTTGGTAGTTGTATCCTTACATAAAAATCAGTAGAAGGAAGGCACTAAAATGCTCTTTCCTTTTAAGAAGAGTCCACATATGTTGAATGTATTTTCAAACCTGTGCCTCAAGAATAGTAATTTCTCTAGTAGTCCTCGTCAAAATATTTATTTGGCCATGTTGATCAGATTAATGTTCCTAATGTATTTTTATTTGTCTGATTCTTCTGCTGATCTAGCCCCTGTTGCCAGTTCGCTGTGTGTACAATATACCCATCGGACAGTAGTGATCACTGGAGGACTTCTGGCTTTTTCGGGAATGGCATTGGGATTTTTTGGACTCAACATGGTCTGGATGTATGCAACAACTGGCTTCCTACAGGGTATGAATTTATGCCTTTATGGCTTTCTTCCACCAGCAACTTATTTGAGGGTGCTAGTGGTAGGAGTTCTAAAATCTGGTATCTATTTTGACTTTATGATCAGCCAGAATGAGCAATGCTCTTTAAAAGTGATTTCCCTCACATCCCACTCTGGAAAAAAGCATTTGTACAGGAAATCTGCAGCAACAAAGAAGACAAATATTTAGAGGCCAGTGATTTACACTTGCAAATTATATGCAAGCAGAAAATTAAGTTTAATTTTTCATTCAGAGATCAGAGCTTTGTGAAGGTTTAAAAAAAAGTCATAAAGGGTACTGAAGTAAAAAGACAGGGAGATCCCAAATCCTATACTTTCTATCAGCTTATCTTATATTTTGAACAGAGTCCCAGGCTTTCATTTTATTCCAATCCTTTCCTTTACTCCAGGCAAAACCAGGCCAGAAAATTGGCTCTAACAGCTAGCAGATTTTCCTGGAACAGGAAGCAAAGCTAGCAGGGAATAAAATAAACCATTCTGAGTTCTGCACTGCATGCCTGAGAAAATGTCTGGAATTTGAACCCTTTGGCAGTCCCAGGCTGCCAAAGAGTCTGGGGAGCCACCAAAAAAACTCTAAGTTAGAGCAGGTTTTAAGTTTGCTCAAAGCAGTTGAGCAAGAAAATTAAGAGCAAATAGAGGCAATACACCAGCTTACTTCATGTCCCACCTCACTGTCTACCCTGAACACAGCTCAGGCTTAACCTGCTGGTCTGACCTAGTACCAGCCTTAACACAGACAGCATGGATACTGAGATTTGCCTAGCTTCAACCTCATGACCATGTGATATCTCATGCACTAGCAAAGCTGTGAAACCAACTTTTTTTTAAAGTGAGAATCTAATAATGTATACAATTCATGTTTTGCTTTTTCACTTGAATATATACAATGTACAGAATATGTCACATATACACTCTTACACCTATTCTAGCTAAGCTCGTTCTTCTTCTAGGCAAAAAATGTTTTCTTTCTAATGCTTTTTAACTTTGCAAATGTAGAAGCACTGACTGCTTTAATTTCCACCTTCACAAAATACCTCAATAGTGTCTAACCAGTGCTATTTCTATTGGTATTTTTCAGGTCTTGGCATTTCTTTTTCGTGGACGCCAGCCATTAGCATTGTTAGCCACTATTTCTCCAAGAAAAGGGCTTTGGCCAATGCTATTGCCAGTGCTGGAGAATGTGCCTTTGCATTCATGTTTGGGCCATTTTTCCAGTGGTTGATTAGTCAATATGGATGGAAAGGTGCCCTCTTGATCATAGGTGGCATCCAACTCAATATTTGTGTCTGTGGAGTACTGATGCGACCCCTGGCAGGCAGCTCCTTCCTTGAGGCCAGCCATTGTGAAACTGAAACCCCACCTGGCAGCGGTGCATACAGGAGAGACAAAGAAGATAAGTCTCCCATCATGCACAAAACCTTCAACTGGATGCTTGTGAGGCAACCAGAATTTGTACTTTATGCCATTTTTGGTATATTAGCTGCTATGAGTTTTTTTGTTCCTCCATTATTTTTAGTTCCACTTAGTTACAGCCTGGGAATAGATGAATCATGGACTGCATCCCTCCTATCCATTTTGGCAATGGTGGACTTTGGAGGCAGATTGCTGTGTGGCTGGTATGCCAACCTCCATCTTACCAAAACGATTCATTTGCTGGCAATGGCGATTACATTGATCAGTACTTCCCTGATGCTCTTGCCACTGGCTAACAATTACCTTTCCTTGGCAATATTCACTGGCTTCTACGGATTCTTCTTTGGTACAACAGTCGCCATTCACATTACAGTGCTAGCAGATGTTGTAGGCATGCCAGAATTTGACAGTGCCCTAGGACTTTTCATGCTTATTCGAAGCACTGGAGGCTTTGTGGGGCCTCCTCTTGCAGGTAAGTTAAGACAACTCACTGCCAAATACAGTTAAAATGAAGAAAAGGGAATGGTAATCCAAATTGAAAAGATCTGGATCTGCACTCAAATTTCCCCTTTTTAGCTCAGGGGTATCTGAGCCAAGAAGTACATAAAAACAAATAGCCACTTTAAATCCTCTCCAAAATACCTTGCTCCTTCTCTTCTGTGTGATTTCAGAGATACCTTTACAACAAGAAAGGAGGGATGAAAGGCAGGGTTCACATGGTGGTCCTGCTTCCTGAATCCCACATAATGCCACTTGGTGGCCTCCAACTATCTAGCTAAGAAAGTGTGCCTTTGGGGCAAGCAGCAGACAGACACTTTCAGAGAAGAAACTGAAATTTGAGACTAGTGATGTTGCACAAATGTTGGTATTGTTGGGAGGGTTTCTACAGAAGTTCAAATTGAACAGACTGAAACATTAGGCTATGCAAACCTCAAGGAAATATTCAGAGAAATGCCTGCTGGTTTTAGACAGCATTTGAGCCAAGTATTATAATAAACAGGGAAGGCAGCACATAAGAACAGTGGGAACAGAGAGTGGACAATAAGAGAGCACATGGATTTATGGGCTGTTAACAAGATATAGTCATCTTGGAAAAATGCAAGACAAATGAACTGCAAGCTGTAGAGACTTTAAAAAGTGATACAGCAAAAAAAAATAGACCAGCGTGACTTGTACAATGCAGATCTAAGTCCTCATCCAAAGACTGTTGTTCACACACTACAAGTGACTTTTGTGGTAATGACATTGCTAATCAGTTGCAGATGAGTCAGACTGAATAATGGAACATTTAAATTAACTTCTGAAAATACAGGAACCAGGAAACTTTGTAGAAGGCTTGAAGCAGAACAGTATAAAAAAATGTTTTGGAAAGATCTGAATAAAATACAGTTTTTAATTGCTGGTCACTAATACTGATTATCTGGGAATCACTGTGGTCCCTTTTTGTGTATTTAGTAAACTACAAAGAAGATATGGAAGAGCGGGGAACCCTAAATGCCTCTCAAGCTCTCCTCTCCTCCTTTGAGTGTAAAATCTGAAAGATCTGAGTTCATGGTTCCTGTGCCTGTATAGGGCTGATCTTAGTTTAGAATGTGGGCTAGGAAGTACCCTAAACATAGACAAACTTCCCACAAGCAAGCAATCTTTATCAGCCCACAGAAGAATGTGCCATCATACCCACAGGGCAGCTGACACACTGCTGCAGGCTATTACTGTACTACTGTACTGTAGAAATTTTTCAGTATAATACACAATGGCATCACATATTTTGGTTGGCCTCAATCCCCTTGAAAACCAAGGTCTTTTTGTTAACATCTGTGACTCTTTGTAAAATGATGAACTGGAAACCCGTAACACATCAGACAAATTCTCCAATTTTTTTTCCAGCAGATGAATCTCCTTTCCTTCTTTAAACTCACTCATGCTGTAGTTATGGTCCAAATTACAGCAACGGGTGACAGCTACACCACAGAAGTGGAGCTGCTCACATACATAGGTGCACAGTCTGTCTTTTTTTTCTGCCAGTGCCTGCACTGTCTGACACACTTTAGGTTGGAAAGTGCTTCAAACTTGTATAATAAATTGTTTCTCTAGCAATTCATGTAAGAAAAACAATGAGACATGAATAATGTTTCAAACTGAAAAATGCTATACTTGGGGTGATGTTCCATGTACTTATGGTGTAGACAAGTATGTAGCCCAGCACATTGCCTTTGTAAGAGGATATATTCACACACACTGCTGAGCTAATTTACATTAGCCTGTTCTCCATCAATCATATTCCTGTCATTTGTTTCTCTCCAGGTCTGATTGTGGACATGGCTGGAGATTACAGAGCAGGCTTCTACATGGCAGGAGCCATTCTTGTCCTGTCAGCTGGATTTTTAATTATTTTAGATCGACTCCAACAGAGAAAAATAAGAGGAAGCAAGATTAGACCTAAACCAGAAAAGTCAACATTACCCTACCCTTCTCTCCATATCCTGAAACATCAAACCAGAAAGTATGGAGAGCACAATGTAGTGGTGTGACTACATGAGACCTCTGACAGCATCTCAAGGACACACAGAAGTGTTTTCTTTTTGCCAAATTCACTATTATTAGGATTTACAAAAGAACAGAAGTTTTGGGTAGGACTGTTTGAAACCAAGGAAGACAATTAATTTACATGCAAACTAGAGCAGTAACCATTACCATATTATTTTGATATTGAAGTTGCATTTTGGTTATGCAAGTCTTCAGCAGAGTCCCACAGGGCTGTGCTAGGCAAACCATGGTCTAAATTAAATTGCCATGAAGCATGTGTGCAGCAGGTAGAAACCCCACCCCCAACTGCTGAATGCAGCTATCACTGAAAAAAGGAAGAGTCATCAGCTCACAAATGCTTACTTGGGAAAGTAGTGCCCAGTATTTTCAGTAAACAAGTTCGATCTGAAAGCACAAGTAAATGAATACAGTTTTGAGATAAGGGTTTGCAGGTACTCTACAGAGCAGTGCTGGAGTAAGATAAATAAGTAAACAAACCCGATATAAGGTAAAAGTTATATGAGTAATGGCATACAGTAGAGAGAAATGCAGACCTAGATATCAGAAGTAAAAAGCAAAATACACCCACACAAAATGAAGTAAGGATTGGTGAGTAGTAGAGGAAGACCTAAGGCTACAGTGGACTTCAAACTGAGTAAGAATCCCAAATGCAACCCGATATTAAAAATAGCAAAGTCTTTCTGTGTTCTGGTAACATATAGGAGATAACAATGGTAATATAGAGAAGATATTGATGCTTGCAAAGCTTTAACTGGAAGAAGTACATGAGTTGCAAAGACTTACGTGGAATATAAATGAGAGAATTAAGAAAATAGCCTAGGGAAAAAGTGTAAAATATTTTGCCTGGTTTAGAAGACAAAAAGTTTTACAGGGCATGAGAACAGCCTTCAAATCCATAATACGCTGAGATGAAGAAAATATGATTAATTCCTTTTATTGTTAAGACAACTGGTAATTGGTATCATTCACAGAAAGACAGTTATGTAACAGGGAAAAAAGCTTCATTGCGGCCTGTTAAGATACAATGCAGGCTATGAATGCAGAACATGAAAACACAGAGATACCAGAGAATAGGTAACACACAATCAAGGATCTAAATGTATGTGCCTCAGAGTAGTAGGATAGGGTAGATGACTTCCTGAGGTCCCCCTTCAGTCCCACATTCCAATTATCCTAAGGCAAACACTTTGAGTAAATAATCTATTTATAAGAATAAAAAATAGTTTGTATCCAAACAACTGGGGTTTTTGTAATTTTACTCTACTGGGAGAAGACAGAATTTAAGGGAGAAAAGGCTGAATAACATTTATAAAGAAACATTAAAAAGAAAAATATGTAGCACTTTAAAGCCTTCAAACTATTATGAATATCTGCCCTACCTATAAACTCCAAAAATTTTCACCATTGAAACACTTCCTCTGTGAAGCCAGTTTACATAAATCTCTCATCTAAAATAATTACTTCTTGTCTCATAAGAACAAGTATTCAAAAAATTTAATTTACCTTACAGGGAATCAGCTGAACCATCAATAAATCAACTAGCTGTGGGGGCTTGATTGAAGAACGCATATTAGAAGGAGCACACCCGGATGTGCAAAGTCTTGTAATAAGGCTCTGACATATCTAACAAAATCCTTTTCAAACTTACCATTGAAAATAATGGATTTTTCTAGGAGTATTATTCTTCAGTCTTCTGCAGCATTCCACTACTTAAAATAACTCTCCATTTTATAAAATGGTATTGCTGGAGATGGAAAGAATGGAGAAATGTTTACTAGATGCAGTTTCCACCCCTGTCGTTTTGTTAAAATTCTGTATTTTATTTACAAGTCCTGTCACCAATTTATTTTCACATGGGCAGCAATGAAGGCATTTAGCGGCACACTGTGCTGGAAGAACAGGGGCACAAGGAGTAGGTCAATGGAGGTGATTGTTCCCCTCTGCTCCATGGTTGTGCATACATTTTTAGGAGCAGCATGCACAAGACAGAAATTGACAAAGATAACTGAGTTCAGCAGAGCATCACTGAGAAGCTGTGGAACCAAGGCTGGTTCAGCCAGAGGGAGCAGCAGCTTTGGGGGCACCAAACAGCATCCCTGGGAGGAATAGAGGAGATGCAGCTGGGCTGTTCACAGCAGTGCATGGTATGAGGGTGAGGCAGCAGCAAAGCTGAAACAGAGAGAGCTTAGGCTGAACCTTTCCCCTGGTTTCCATCAGGCTGAACAGAATCTTGTGAGAAGTACTTTTATTTTCTTTGCTAAATGCACTAAATTGTATTAGTCCCTTGGATATGCTGTCATCTTATTGCTATGTATCTGTCTAATGGCACAAAAGAAGTCAAATCGCAGAATCACGGGATACACTGAATTGGAAAGTCAATCAGGATCATCAAAGTTCAACTCCTGACTATCCCAAGAGTCACATCATGTACCTGAGAGCATTGTCCAAATGCTTCTTGAACAGTGTTAGGCTTGGTGCTCTGACCACTTCCTTGGGGAGCCTCTTACAGTGCCCAGCCACACACCGGGGGAAGAACACTTCCATGATATCCAGCCTAAACCTCCCCTGGCATGACTTCAGGCCATTCCCTCGGGTCCTGTCACTGGTCACCACAGAGATTTCCTTTTCCCCTCATGAGGATGCTGAAGACCACCCTTCAGTCAGGCTGAACTGACCAAGTAACCTCAGCCACTCCTCACGTAGCTTCTCCTCCAGACCTCTCATCCTCCTCATCACCCTCCTATGGGCAGGAGGCATCCTCTTTTATTGTGGCACCCAGAGCTGTCCCCAGCACTTGAGGTGAGGCTGCCCCAGCTCAGAGCAGGACAATCCCCTCCCTTGCCTGGCTGGCCATGCTGTCCCCAGGACACGGCTGGCCCTCCTGGCTGCCAGCGCACTGCCACCTCATGCTCCACTTTCCACAGAGCAGGACCCTGACATCCTTTCCTGCAGTACTGCTCTTCAGCCTCACTCCCTAGTCTATACACACATCCAGGGTTGTCTCATCTCAGGGCCAGAATCTGACACCTTCCCTTGTTAAACTTCATTTGTTTGGTGACCTGCAATTTGTTGAGGTAGCCCTGCAGGGCCTCTCTGCTTTCACAGAAGTCAACAGCTCCTCCCAGTTTAATGTCTTCAGCAAACGTACTTAGCATTCAAAATCATTAAGATGTTGAAGAGCATCTAAGCCCTAAGTTAGAGTCCTGTGGAACCCCACTAGTGACAGGTCACCAGCCTGATGCCACCCCATTCACTGTAACCCTTTGTGCAGCCCACCAGCCATCATCGATCACATGATGTGTTTATTCAGCTGAATGCTGGACATTTTGTACAATTTCAGGATCATGGGAGGTGATCATTCACATAGCCATGGTCCTCCAGCTTCAGGCAGTGGGATCCCCTTTGTCCCTTGCTAGTGCTGAAAGGAGAGGCAAAGAAAGTGTTGAACATCTCTGTCTTGTCCATGTCCTTGTTTGTGAGGTGACTATACTCATTGTCACCTTAATATAATAGAAATAACATCAGGATGATGTCATTTCTACACTGCCTTTTGCCATTAATATATTTGAAAAAGCTTTTTACTGTTCCTGTCAATTGGGACCAGCTTCATCTGCAGTTGAGCTTCAGCATGACTTATTTTCTCCCTGCAGTGGTGAGCAGCATCTCTGTAATCCTCCCACGTCACCTGACATTACTTCTGCTGAGCCTACACCTTATTTTTGCCTCTACCTCCCAAAGGAGATTCCTGCTCAGCCAAGCCATCTTCTGTCTCACCTGCTTGACTTCTGACATTTGGGAATTGCCTATGCCCTAAGATGGTGCTTAAAATGTGACCAGCACTGACAGACCCCAGCACCTGCAAAAGCATTTTCACATGTTACCTTACTGACTGATTTCCTGAGCAGCCAGAAGTCTGCTCTCCTGTTCTCCTCATGTCCAGAGCCAAAGTACCGAGTGTATTCATTTTGGAACTGCTTTTACTTCAGCTGCAGCTGAAGTAAAATATTCCAAGTTAAATTTCACTGGACTATTACTACAGGGATTACTTAGAATCACAGAATTATCAAAGTCGGAAGAGACCTATAAGATCATCAAGTCCAACCATCCATCCACCACTGCCACTGTCACCTCTAAATCCAAACCACATCATCCAGTGCCAGGTCCACACGCCCCTGAAACATCTTCAGGGATGGTGACTCTATCACTTCCCTGAGCAACTTATTGCAAAGGACTCTTTTGATCCAAGTTCTAAGAATGTAGTCAGCACTGATTATATTAATTTTGTTCAAGAGATTACCTCAGAGGCCTAAATGAGCAGCCCACCTGCAAGGAGTTTCTCACCCCAAAGCAGTTAGAAAAGTTAGTTTCAGTGAAAACAGGATTGTGAGGTTTTAAAAAGCACTACCATTCTCTTCAATCCAGGTATGGCCTCCTGAAATTGTATGCAAGGGAAGTCACTCAACCTCACCTTGATAGCATCCAACTGCATCCAAAAGTTTTTCATCCATGGTTGATCATTCTGCATCTCATGGAGAAAGCCCCACAAATCTGAACAATCCCCTCGGCTCAGAACCTCCTCTTTACCGCAGACAAAGTAGGAGCAAAAGAAAAATGCCAGAAAGCTCTTCAAACTTTTTCTTTAGAAAAACAGGGTAGACTAACAAATGCACCATGGTAGTCATGGCATCCTCTTGGCACAGCTTCTACAGGATTAAGACTACCATTCCTTCTTTACTGTAAGATTCAGAGGTGGAGCAGAGGGAGGTGTGTCTGACAGTAAGGACCACAACTTCATTTAGAAATTACTTGAGGAGGAAGTTTCTGTCATGAACCAGGCTTTCAGGATGAACATATTTATGGTGCTTGTGCAAGGCAGTCTACAGGACATGTTGCTCCCTGGAGGTGCCTTGCAGTCAAGGTAGGAGCAAGTTGAGGAACAGCTTCTTTTCAAAAATCCAGCCTGTAGTGGAACTCTTCAGCCTGGAAGCCAGACAATATCTCCTTCAAACCATGGAGAGACAAGGATCCTCAGGACAAACTGAAAGGGATATAATTGCTTATTTTCTCTTTTTGTACTACATTACTGATAATATAGATTTAGCAGTGAAATACCTGTGATTTTCCACTGAATCTCCCATAAAACTCAAAACTAAAGTCTTTACTAAATCAGGTGTCATACTTGTTTTTCTTTGCTCTGTGTACTGTAGGAAGCCTCAAATGTCAGAGAAAAATAATTATCAATTAAAGGAAGTAAATAATAAAAATCCCAGAATCTTGTCCTTGAAAGATGGGATCAAAATGTCAACAGCACAAAACCAACAGCTACTCTTTTTCAAAGGTCAGGCCTGTTATTTTCAGTTACACCAGAAGCATTCATTTCCTACCTTTCACCAAGATTCATCAGCGTCCTGGATTTGCCACAGGTTTGGCTATGAGAAAAAAAATGGGTTACTTTGGGGTTTCCTCTTCCATCCTCTTCTCCTGAAGAGTTATCTTTGAAAACATAACACCTTTAGAATCCATGTGTCAATCCCAGTGACTTTACACTGATGGAGTTAGTAGCACTACATCAGAGAATTAAGATTTTGTAAAAAGATTGATATCAAAAGCAGGATGTGATATTTCATCTCCTCATCCATCCAAATCCTCAATAGCAGCATTCTGCATTTACATTCCAGATGGCACCACAGATCCATTACAAAGCTGTTTTTTTTTTGTTTTTTCCTTTTCTGTTATACTATTAACAAGAGATTCATTCAGAACACGTAATATTCAAGCAGTTGACATTTTACCCTACACATCACTTGAGGCAAGTAAGGGTCAGAGACTGGTTTTGCTACATGAAATCACGTGGATTTTCTTTATTAGTGTTTTCAGTCTCACAAGATCAAGCAACTTTATCAAGCAAGCTTCAGTTATCTTCCTCTTCCAGAAGTGAAGCTTTTCTTCAGGAAAACACATTATTTGATAAGGAACTTTACAACATTTCAGAGTGCAAGAGGGCTGGCATGTTTTTTGAGAACTTGACAGACTGTGATAGCATCCACTTACTGTTTTACACACATGGATATTTACAGAAACTTCTCTGCACTTCTTTCACCTTTGAAATTCCTATTGAGTTCATGTGGGTTAACTTGCCCAAATTAGCAAGTTTATGCTCCTCACTGTTCATT